AAATGCTCCAGGGTCGTGTTTTCAATCAGCTATTTCCCGAGACGGTCCTAAAACAACAATGACGCACGCAACTCACACTAGCCGCCTGGCGAAACAGTGGCCAAAAAGCCATGCAACATCAACACGTCGAGATTGTCGAGCCTTTTGTCGCAATTTGTGTTTGTTTAGAGAGAGAGAGAGAGAGAGAGAGAGAGAGAGAGAGAGAGAGAGAGAGAGAGAGAGAGAGAGACAGAGACCAACCTCCTTTCCGACGAGGGGGAAGAGCTTCGCACATCCTACCTCCTGGCTGGGTGGCGAACTTTGAGACCTCAGTGATCGTGATAGTGGCCAGGACGCGAAGCTAGCAAAGGTCGCAACAATGGTGGGGGACAAGCAATGTCGTGTGTGCAGGCTCGGAACAGGGGTGTGCCAGTTGGGGTCTGCTAAGCGTGTGAAAAAAGAGAGCAGTGCGTCAGAGGAAACAGCCCCAGACTGGGGAAGCAACCACAGTGCCAGCCCGGAGAAAGAAGAGTCGGGGGAGGACCAATGGCCATGGGGCTCGGAAGGACGACCGTCCGACAGAAGCCAGGGAACAAAGCCCAACGAGCCAGCGGGGGAGCCGCCGCAGAAGGCCAGGCCATGCACTGCCACGACGAGACCGAGCGAACCTGCGGAAGGACCTCGACAGCCACACAGGGGGGAGAGAGGCCCGCTATACGCCTCACTCCCAACCTGGCCTGGCAAGTGCGCAGGGTACAGGACCACATGACGGCGCAAAGAGAAAGGACTACATCGTCGAGTTCCCGTACTGAGCCCAAACACTGAGCAGGGGGGGAAGGCATTTTGCCACCCTTCAACAATAGCGTGTGCGTCACAGTTTTGCAAGGGAGCCGACTGCCAGTGAAGAGTCTACCTGTGTAGTGCGGGGCGTTGTACTTAGGGCTTTTCGTGCTTGCTGCTGGCCCCCTAGCCTGCATGATCTTGGGAAGCCAACTTGCTACCTAAGTAATAGGACGGGCCGCTGAGCCATAACCCACCACAGTGCATGGGCCGAGAGCCCAAATTCAACAGAAACTTTGAGGGGACACACCCACAGCAATTCGTGTTAGAGTTCTAAGGGGCGACATTTGCGGGGGACCCCAACGGGGGGATTATCACTCCCTACTGTTGCCTCCTATACATTACCTCCTGTAAGGGGAACCCGCCGTCCTCGTCACCTGCACGGTTCCTTGTTCTACGCTGTTGCTTCCTACTGCCCATGCGGGGGACCCGAAGTAGTTGACTAACTTGGCCGATGGGGGAACGAGCCTGTACTTGTGGTACGCTGTTTGCGCACTGATTACCCCACATTCCCTCAACGTCCTGTGCTTAGCCGTGTTGCTGCATAAGGGGAATGTTTGCCGGCCGCGGTGGTTCTGCGTGGGGGAGTGCCTGGCTGGCGAGGGACTAAGGACTAGGCTTAAGAGAGCGCGGAGACGAGGCCGGGACGCGTGTTAGTGTAAAGGGAGGGATGGGTTCCTTGCCAGCCGTACTTCACCGATCACACCTTCCACCAGGACAAAGTTTCCCGACCACTGAAGACCCCAAAGCCTCTTCCACCGCCTAAACGGGGAAGGGGGGGCCTGGGCCCGGGTTCGTGTCCTGAGAAGCAAAGCGAAGAGAGAGAGGGAGGGAGAGACAGATTGCGGGCCAAGCGCCTGCGGGTCGCACGCGACCCCTTAGCCGGGCAGAAAGACAGAGAGAGCGAGAGACAGATTTTAGGCTCAAGTGTGTGCACCTTCGTCGTTGGGGGCCTGTGCTGCCCTCTCGACTTAGCGGGGGAGGTCCCCACAGGCGGCTTCACCCAGCCATGCTTGAGTCACACGGCGTCGCCGATCAAGTGGCCCCTGCAGCAACTTCGCTCTGCCTGGATCCTCACCGCGGCCCTCTCCGGAGGTGGCCTGCCAGTAGGGGGAAGGGCATACTACAACTGGAACACTGCGGAACTCAAGGTGATCCACTTGGAGGGAGGAGCCACCACAGCTTTTGAACAATGAAGATGGACGGCAAGGGAAAGCAATGTCGACTATGTAGGTAGGCCGGGAGGATGCCGGGCCACAAGAAAGAGCACCAACGTGGCGACCCCGCATGCCGACTACACGGATCGTCTGCAAGGGGGACTGCGTCGGTGGTGGGCCGCGATCAAGCTCGTCCACCGTTGAAGCACAAGGGGGAAACCAACAGGCAGCCAGCTAAGGCAGGCCCTTTCTCACATATGATGAGATTTGAAACACGTGGGGGGATGGCGCTGCGAACCAACCCACCTAACCCCACTGGACGAATGGATAAACAAGAAGGTGCAAATGGAGCCTGCTACGGGGGAGTAGCACTGCGAGGCTACGGGGGAGCCGCTCACGAAGGACCAAGCGGCCTCCTATGACCAAGAGCGCACGGATAGGTGCAGAATGGGGAAGCCGCTGACAGGCATTGTGGACAAGTACCTCCCAAAAGTGGCAGCAGAAACCCGCATCTATCTAAGGCGCTTTCTTTACAAGATCAAGAAGCTTTTGAAGCGAGCCCGCAAAATCCGGGGGAAGATGAGGAAAGCTCGCAGGCAGAAGCGGAAGCGTGAAGCCCGTCAAAGCCGAGGGGGAAGCCGGAAGAGCCGGGGGAGAACCACACCACACCACAAAGCAGACCGACAACACAAGCAAGCCGAGCAAGCACTGGCAGCCGTGTGACAGTTGAGCGCATAGCTACAGACGACAGCCCGCCGGATTGGGGGGAGACTCTGAAACCGCAGAGGCAGCGGAAAGCTCACAACAGCTTGGGGGGGAACCGCACTCCTGGCCATGGGGCTCCGCAGGCAGACCGTCGGACAGAGGGCAAAGCAGGGGAGTGCTGGCAGAGCGACCCAGTGAACCAAGTGGACAGCCGCCGCGGCCAGCATCGCAGCATACCCACCCAACGGAAAGGGGGAATGCAGTGAGGCTGGTACCAAACCAGGCATGACGTTTAACGAGTACAGGCACACGTGGCACATACTCGACGTGAGCGCGGGGAAAGGAAGGGCGGAGTTTGAAGGCGACCGAGTGACCAAGTGAGGGGAGCATCATGCTGCCTCGACATTTTGTAGCCAGCCGGGCAAGTGCGCTACGCACGGCAGCATCAGAGAGTGTGAAGAAAGTTTTGGGGGAGCCGAAAGTGGGGGAGCTGCGGTGGTGCCTTGTTTTGATTTTACGCTAGGCTCAGCCCTACACTTCTGATCCCCAGTTGTTCCCAACCGCTTGCACACGACAAGCATAATTATGACGGGCCACGGAGCCAGAGCCATTATATACCTCAGGGGAGCCATCCCGCTCTCCACCTCTAAGTGCAGTTTTGCAGAACACCCTGCCTTTGAAAAGGGACCCTGCTGCCAATTCTCTACACACCTGCATGGGAACACATACCGGGACACCCGCCAGTCTTAGGCATGTGCATGTTTCGATGTTCCATGTTGTTGTTTTCCCACAGCTGTTGCTTTACAATGCAAAGGCGGGGGAACCAGAGACTATTTTTTGCTTTGGGACGTAGTCCGTCAACGCCACGAACTGAAACGGTGCAGTGCGTGACCTTGGCCCTATCCTTTGGTGTTGCTTTGTCTGATGAAGGGGGACGGCTAACCGTAGGTTTTGCGAGGAACTGTGCCCAACCACTGCTAAGGGGGACATGTCACTTCCCAAGTTGTGCTGTTCTTGTTTCAGGGGGAAGTGAGGTCAATCCGTAAGTTCTGCTGGGGGGCGTGTCTGTCGTAGGCCAAGGACCTAGCCAAAGAGAGCGCGGGAAGTTCAGGGAAGGAGGCTCCGCGACAGACGTACGCTTCCGGCTATACCGAACGGAGAAACACAGCCCCTTGTTTTGAGGCCCCAATGCTCTTCCACCGAAAAGGGGGAATGGGGGTGCCTTGGCGCGGGCTTCGTCGGAGTACCCATGCGAAGGGAAGCGAAGCGAAGCAAGAGAGAGAGAGAGAGAGTGAACGAGGGTAAAACCCCTACACCACAGCCCTGGCGAAAGAAAGGGTTAAAGTCCCTACACCTAGCCCTGGCGAAAAAAAGAGAGAAAGGCGAGTCAACTAGAAGAAGAAGCAATGGAGGGTTCAGCAATTTTTGCCAAAGGCTGAAGAGTTTTTTTTTTTTTGCTCGCAATGATGGGGTACATGACCTTTATACCTAAGCCTGCGAAGGTCACAGAAACCTGCAACCAGAATCATCTGGGAGGCCCAGTCTGACAACCTCTAAACGCCTTAGATGCATGCCGTTTAGGCAAGTTGCGGTGGGGGTCAACAGGAGATCGTCAGAACCATTTGAGTTTGGTGGTGATCCTGTGTTGCGCGGTTGTTTTCGCAGTTCTGATTTCACTTCCCATGCGCTATGTCGTGTAAACCGTGTGGCCATACAGAATCCATCTCTTGCGAATTTCAGAACTGCGAAATTGAGTTTCTGAACTTTGCGATCATTCAGACGTAGCCCGATGTGCATGAGCAGTGCTGCAAACCGCCGGCTTGCCCACCGGGCAAAGGGTAAATCGTGACCTTAAGACCCAGTAACAGGCAGTTCCATGAAGTCACATAAACATCGAGGGAGCGTGGAACAGTACCTCCATGTCAAAGATTTGAAGTTGATTTAAGCCGCGGCGGAGCTCCAGTGCTCATGTGCGCATGTACATTCCAGAAGATTGGGGCTGCTCAATCTTCCGTTTACGTTCGTCTGTTCGATGTTCTGTGATCGCCAAGGCAAGCTTCAGGTTTGGGACAGGTTTGGTATGGTCGGGATTTGTGACACCCGACGGGTCGATTTGATCCTCTGAGTAGCTGGGCAGCTGGAAACAATCAGTTTCATGCTGGCTCTCGCCTTTCAAAGAGTCGTTGGTTGCAGCCGAGCTGCCAGTTCAAGCAGAGAGAAAATGCCAAAATGCGGTCTTTGCGCCTTGGCGTTCTTGCAGATTGATTTCGGGCAGGAAATTTTGCGGGAACTGTGGGATTTTCTAGTGTATCTGTTGAGGTCGGGCAACAGTTGTTGCTGCTGCCTTGGTGACCTTCGCGCCGGTTTCCAAGAATCCTTCCTGGGTCTCTCGTTTTGTTTCATTTCGTGCTTAGCTTTGACATCATGCCGTCAAGTTTGATAGAATAAGCTTTAACGCCTGATTCGTATTGGGCTACTTGCGGAAGCAGGCAGAAGGCATGTCATGACGTCACCCCCTGCTTAAGACGGCTTCAAGGCTCGTAAGAGCTGTTAAAGATTGCAGGAGTTGGCGGTTTCTGAGCGCAGAGACTAAGAAGCTTCTTGCAGAAGACGAGAGAGCCTCTACGACCAAAATTGTCAACGGAAGAGCCGGTGCCCTTCTACTTCACGTCAGTTGAAGATTTCGTTGGAAAAGAATGCCTGATGATCCTTCGTTCATCTTCCAAAGCTCACGGAGACCTCTGGCCCGTCTTATGAAACCTTAGGCGCTGGCCGGCTGAGGGATGCTTTTCAGCCGCGAGCGGCTGAGGGGCCTGAAGTTGTCTGCAGGGTTGCCCATTACGCGTTCGGGGGTTTGGAAGCCTTTTCGGGCCCTTGCAAACCTTCACAAATAATACGGAGGCATGTCTCAATGTGTGATAGCGATTTACAGTGATAGCATGTCCTTTTCAGCTATGATCACGGGCGTCAGTTTGGCCGCCAAAGTCACAACCAGAGTCGTTGCCACGTGTACACGAAAAAGCATTGCGCGAACTGACAAGTACCGAAGGCAGCGTGATACTTGCAATTCCTTTTGAGATGCCCCGGAACCCAGGCTCACATTCGCCTTCGCGTCCTTCGGACTCAGATCCCAGAGCAAGCGCAGCGTTCCCAGACAGTACCTTCGGAATCGGGGTATGTGAGTCGCACTAGCATGAGGTGTCAGCATTTTGCTGCAATTGATTCTTCGGCTATCATTGTTGTTTTGTTGTTGCCGTTGTTTTTTGTTGTTCCGGTTGTTGTTGTTGCTGCTGCTGCTGCTGCTCCTGCTGCTGCTGCTGCTGTTGTTGTTGTTGTTGTTGTTGTTGTTGTTGTTGTTGTTGTTGTTGTTGTTGTTGTTGTTGTTGTTGTTGTTGTTGTTGTTGATGCTGTTGTTGATTTACTGTTATTCTTTTTTGTTGAGTTCCTGTTCTTGTCATTGTTGTTTTTGTTCCTTTTCGAGTTTCTGTTCTTGTTCTTGCTCTTGTTATTCCTGCAGTTATTGTTTGTCTTGTTGTTGGCTGTGTTGGTGCTGGTCCTGGTGCTGGTGTTGGTGTTAGAGTGGATGTGGTTAGTCTTAGTGACCGCTGGTGTTAGTGTTGTTGTTCTTGGTCTTCTTCCTGTTGCTGTCGTTACTATTATCATTGATTTTGCTGTTTGCTGTTCCTGATACTGTTTTCTTCTTGTTTGTAAAGAGTCAGTTATTAGCCGGCTTCTTGTTGCGCTGACCGTTGCCCTTGCCGCGGCCCGTTGCTGTTGTGGTTGCGGTGGTTGTTGTTGCTCTTGTGATGTTTGTTGATGTTTCTTCCGTCGTGTTTGTCGATGCTGTTGTTGGTTTGGTGGTGGTTGTGGTTGTGGTTGTGGTCGTTGTGGTCGTTGTGGTTGTTGTGGTTGTTGTGGTTGTTGTGGTTGTTGTTGTTGTGGTCGTGGTGGGGGTGGTGGTGGTGGTGGTGGTGGTGGTGGTGGTGGTCGTGGTGGTGGTGGTGGTGGTGGTGGTGGCGGCGGTTGTGGCGGGCTGTGGCTGTTGCTGTGGTTGTGATTGCTGTTGCCTTTTTCTTGGTTTTGTTCTTCTGATTCTTGCCATTCTTGCTCTCGCTGCTGCTCTCAAGATCTCTCAAGGCCCCAGACAGTCTTGGCTGAAACCTGGGTCTTGGTGGGATTTGGTGGGTCCAAGGGCGCGGGGGTGAGGCCAGACAGCATGAGAAGGGCATCCCACCAAACGGCAACTATCAGACAGCATGCAGCACAGACCCGCGATGCCTTGTGTCCTAAAGCCTTATCGCCAGCGGCTTACCCGCATATTCTCTCAGCAGCAAGCATCGGCAGTCTTAGCTCTGAGTTTGTTGTTCAAACGGCAGGTAGCCGAAGAGTTCTCCTCGTCTCTTGAATCCTTCACCGGTTGCTGAGGTTACCTCACTTGGCTCCGTTGACCTTCTCTGTTGCGGGGGGCTCGTTCGAGTGGCTCAGGCCTCAGTCTCGGCTTAGGCTTCGCTTCAAGCTTCCCCCCGCACCTTTACCCAGGCTACGGCTAGGAAAGTAGAAGCTCGCCGGCGAAGCCGGTCTTCATGTAGATGGTTGCAACAAGCCGACCTAGACAACTAGGCGCCGTCTTTCTACCGCAAGCATGCAAACAGCAGATGTGACAAAGATCCCATCCATGGCCCGTCACAGCCACAGGGGAAACTGACAGGAGCGGGGAGGACGGCATGCCCCACGACACCGTGTTGTCCGGGGCTTGTTGCGCAGCATGCCATCGTAATGAGCCGCTACTGTTTGGCAGTGGGGTTTCCCGTATCAGGTCCCTGGCTGGGCCATTCGGCGAGCCCGGAGCTTTAGAGGTGCCTTGGGGCCTCAGGGTTTCCAGCAACTTGAGCGACCCCTGCAACGAGCTAACAGGAGCGAGCAGTTCAGCACAGGGAAATGGTAGTGACTTGCCATGCTGGCAGCGCTGCACTCCCTTCTACATCTTCAAACGCCTGATGGGCATGTTTGACGCCTGATCGGCAAGCATGATTTGAAAACGTTTACATGCACTGGCGAACAGTTGGGTCTGCAGCGCATGAAGATTGCTGGCATGCGGAACATGCAGACCCTCCATGGCGTGGCATCAATACGACAGTGTTCTAGTGCGTGCTGCCAAACTCACGCTTTCATACCCGATGCGCGAGCGCTGTGCATGCTCGGTGTGCGGTTTTAGGTGTATTTTGGGAATGGGCCGCCGTTGAAGCAAAATACTTGTGCAAAGGCTAGATATTCTCTGGGTAGTTTTACTTGGCGCTGAAAGCGAAACTAGGCCCTGGGCGCGTAGGTTGTCTTTATAGACTCTTGGTCGTTGGGCTGTTTAGGACATGCTTGAGCACTTCTTGGTCTTGTCTAGGAATCCAGACGGTGACCCCCTGCGACCCCTGGGATGACCGTTCTACTTCCTCGCCCGGCTTGTTCAAATGGCCTGTGCTCGGAGCCTGAACAGGCGGGCGCAGCGCGGTGTCTAGCACACTCCTTTACCGGCAAAGATGCTGCGGCTGCGTTGGGAAAAAAAGTAAAAAGCCTACGTGTGAACAAGCGAGCAACCGCAAGAACGAAGTCGAACTCAGCACAAAGTCCCCAAATTCGACGACCGATGTCACAACACCAACGAATACGGCATCTGAGCACTCTTAGTGCATGGTCCATCATGGTCCTGCCGGACTTGCAGCAACATCGAAAGAAACTGGGACCGGTCTGCGTGGTGCCACCGGTGAAGGATGTTGAGACACTGCATCTTCGTCGCACAGCAAGGCCTTCTTAAGGTTGGCAGGTGGATCCGTTGTTGCCGATATTGGCAGTCCTTCTGGAGCATCGCTCAACGAGCGTGCGGCAGGTGCTTCAGTGCTAGCGAATAGGTCCGGCGTCAACCGTGCGTCCGATGATGCACTGCCAGTTCCTGGGGGAAACTTCTGCTTCACTTCTGATATGTGACGTTTTCGGCATCGTCGTGTTCGCCGCAAACTTTCAATGTAAAGAGGGTGCTGCTCAGGATATTCGATATTCTGGTTTGCTGCATTTGGTTGGTTCCGGTGGTGATGGAGGGGCGCGGCAGTCACAGTCTCGGTGGAAGTCAAACGCCTTGCCTACCATGGCCCCCTGCAAACGGTGATGCCGGGTGTGTGTACATGCATTCGTGCATGCATTCCTGCAGTCCAGCCTCCAAGAGCTTTGCAGGTGCGCAGTGGTCAAGCCATGTCGACTCTGGTGTTCCTGCCTGCTGCTCAGCAAGCTCACAAGGCTGAGGGTTAGCTACAAGCAAACACGGTGTGCAATGAAGCTTCATGCAGTGCATGCAGTCTCAGCATTGCCAAAGGAGACCTAGATGATCCAGGGCCTGAGAGTGCCCGTGGTCTTGTTTGGCTTCTGGCTCTCGTGGCTTCTTCGTCTTCCCGAGCTGTGCGGCCAGAGGAATCGGTTTGTGTAAGTAGTTTCCCCGCCATGGGAGCGGACATAGGCACGGTTACAGTTCGTCATAATTGTCAGTCTTATTGTGGCTTTTGTTGCGCTTGTGGTGCTAGTTCCTTTTTCCGCGAGCGAGTGGCGCCTCGTCCCTATGGCATGGTTCCCTGCTTTTGGTGGTGGTTCCCTTCGTGCGGTTTTCTCGCTGTCAGGCGGATCCTCACCCGTGACCTCCAGCCCCCTCCCGCCGCCCCGGTTTAAGGTGTCGTCGTAAACGGCAGTCATGCAGATCACGAATTCGTGCCAGCCACTGTTTGCCTGAGATGCGAAGTTGCCTGGCGCGTCGAAAACTTGAGCAGACTGATGAACTGCTAACTTAGCCTGGGGCTGCTGAGGCCAGAGCTGATGTCCGCACAAGCCGGCCCGGGCTGCGCGGGCCATCCGATGTCCACCCAAGCGGCAGCCCTGGCCTCGGCTGCACATCACCTCCCCATCGCTGACCGGCTGACCTCGCTGAGGATCGGAACCAGGCGGCCGAAAGACAGGCGCAGCAGCCGTGTCTGCCAGACTGGCAATCGTCATGGAGATCGGATATGGCCACAGGAGCGCCCAAAGCACAAGAAGAAGTTGGCTTTCGATGAAGGGCCTTTGCCCCAGATCTACATGAAGCAAGTTCAGCGCACATTCCTGAGGTGGGGTGCATACTTGCGGCACTCCTCCGAGGCAAGGGGCGCTGGTTGCCGCCTCTTCCGACAGCGAGGATTCACAGAGCAGCAGCCGAAGCGCAGCTTGGATGCAGATCGTCACGATTAGTGCAGCTCGTAACGACTGCTACACCGCAGGCGACTTCCAGCCAGGAAGCCGAGACTGACGGCACAGTGCCGTCCCAGCTGCAAATTGCTTCCAAGGCTGAGGCACGGGATGGTGGCGGTGGTAGTGGTGAAAGAAAGGCTGCAGAAATCATGTCCAACATTGACACTTGTGGTTTCCTGACAGGTGTCGTTTATGTGAACTGCACTCCAGACATAGTTCCACACATGATCACACAAAGAGAGGCCGGCGCCAGCCAAGCCACTTTGTCACTTCCCACTCTGGTCGAGAAGGCCAGCCAGTGAGCATCCTGCATTCATGAAGCAAGCGGGTAGGTTCCGATACTGAGAGCGCCAGGAGCAAGGTGGTTCCTGTGCATTCTTCTTTCTGCCCGCAGCAGCCCCGGCAAGGGGAAGGGGGCAGCTTAAGGCTCTCCACAGGGGCGAAACGAACACAGCGGGAAGGGGTGCGCGGGAAACACGGCGAGGCCGAGGCGGATTTTTCGACGGTGTCACCCGTTTAGCTCTGTGAGTGAAAGCTTGGACAGCCAGAGGTTCGGATGCAGCAACTCGTCGAAGGGCTCGTCTCTCAGACTGGTCAGGAAGACCCGGAGCTCAAAAGACTAAACCACTGTGTCGTCCCGTCTTTACAACTTCACCCAGTCCACCTCAGGGTCCTTTGCTGCAATGAGGCCCGTGCAATCCTCGGATGCTACCTTCAAAAGGCTTTCCAAAGGCGTGCCTGTGCACTCGTCGCCAATCTGGGAAGGTTAGAGTGTTGGAGACCGGTGAGACTTCGCACGTCAGCGCTCCAGTATTGGAACACCGGAAACCTGGACCCAGGGACCGACGCCCAGACGAACGGCGGGGCTCGGAAACCAAGTTCCGTGGAATTCAAGTTGCCGCAATGGCTTGCTCGAAGTTATGCAAACTGCCACCAAGCCGTGCGAGGTCATCTTGCTTCAGCAGGTTTCCGTCATTGTAAATCTGGCAGACGTCCAGCGCTCAGTGCTTGCCTTCGCTTTGCAATCTTGCAGCTACTGTACATGTAGTCACATGCAGCAGTCCCAGGCACATGCGGATAGCACGTGCCAGGCTGGGAGCTTACAACCCTTACATGTCGTGGAGTGACAAAAAAAGGGTCGGCAACACGAGTCTGCTTAGTCGTCAGTGCGAAGCGACAGGGCGTTTGGGATCCCGTCCCTGCCGTCTCCTTGGCAGCTAGTCTTGGCCTCAGCGATCTCGCTGTCTGCATAAAAAAGATGCCTGTGATGCTCTGAGGCGGTAGTCCTGGAGTGGCGGCACGATCCCACTGCAAGGCATCTTAGGGGCCTTTGCGAGCTGAGATCCCCAGCCCTCTGCATGCTCAGTCCCCGCTCTCCTAGCTCGAGCACGCCAGTAGCAAGGTCGTATCAGGTGACGTGGACCCGCAGCTGTTTGGTTCCACAGGTCAGGATTTGGGCCACCTTTGAAGCCCTCCGCCATCATCGCAGAATGATCCCGTCCCGACGGCAAGCTCAGCGAGGGCATTCCTCACCAATTTTGAGATCACTGGTGGGTGGATTCCTTGTGTGGCTTGGCAGCCTCAGTCGTATCCAGTGTATTCCTTGGCATAATCAGTCTTTCGTTTACTGCCGAGCAGGTACTTCGCTGGACCTGCTGCATTCTCGATCCTCACCTCTGGCCGTCCCTCTACGTTACAACGCAGTGGACACAGGCAATTCAGCTTGGCTCGCCGAGCTGAAAGTGCTGAAACTGCCACTGCCACAGAGGTGGCTGATGGTGAGGAGTTTGAGTTCCAGGCTGAGGTTGGCCGGGTCATGGATATCATTATCAACTCCCTGTATTCCAACAAGGACGTGTTTCTTCGAGAACTGGTGTCCAATGCCGCAGATGCTTGCGACAAGAAGCGTTTCCTGGCACTGACGGAGAGCGACGCGCCGCCTGAGCCGATGAAGCTGCGCATCAACACAAACAAGGATGATAGGCTGCTCATGATTGAAGATAACGGAGTCGGCATGTTGAAGGAGGAGCTCAAGGAGAACCTGGGTCGCATTGCTCGCTCAGGCACCGCCAACTTCGTAAAGGAGCTGGGTAGCGGCGAAGCAGATGTCAGCCTCATCGGGCAGTTCGGTGTGGGCTTCTACTCGGCATTCCTTGTGGCAAACCAGGTGGACGTGTATTCCAAGAGCTTCAAGAAGGACGGTGACGGAAAGATCTGGAAGTGGTCCTCTTCGGGCAGCTCTTACAGCATCAAGGAAGCTGAGGAGACAGAGCTCTTCGGTGAGCAGAGTGGGACCAAGATTGTGTTGCACCTGCGCGAAGAGGCGCAAGAATATCTGGACACTGGCAAGTTGTCTGACCTACTGAAGAAGTATAGCGAGTTCATTACCTTCCCCATTGAGCTGTTCAATGAGAAGGTCCAGTACGACCAGGTTCCCGATGAATCAGCGCCTCCGCCAAAGGAAGGCGAGAAGCAGAAGATGAAGAGCGTGCCACGTTCCGTGTACGAGTGGGACATCATGAACAAGATGAAGCCCATTTGGCTGCGCAATCCGGATGTGGTCAATGAGTCTGAATACACCGAGTTTTACAAGACGACTTTCAAGGCTTTTGATGAGCCCATGTCGGTAACGCACTTCAAGGTGGAGGGTCAGATCGAATTCCGGGCTTTGGTGTTCATTCCTTCTACCATGCCCTTCGAGCTGACCCGCGACATGTTCTCCCCAGAGGGCCGAGCCATGCGTCTCTACGTCAAACGTGTTTTCATCAATGACAAGTTTGAGGATCTGGTTCCACGATGGCTTACTTTCGTCCGGGGTGTAGTGGACTCGGAGGACCTCCCGCTCAACGTGGGCCGAGAGATTTTGCAGAAGAGCCGCACCCTGAAGATTATCCGCAAGCGAGTGGTGCGAAAGGTCTTGGACTCCATCGATGTGCTAGTCTCAGTCTGCAGAAGCGTATTCCCTTCACGTTACGACAGCATGCAGTGTGCATCTCAGGGCACCTGATCTGCATCCACTTAGATTCAGCCCAGGACTTGCGTGACAAGGAACCCAACAAGTTCGAATCCTTCTGGACGAGCTGCCTGGAGTCGTTTAGCTCTTGACCGGGAGATAGTCAGCCCGAGCCCCAATGGCCTCAGGCTATGGCAAGTACTTCAAGGTTGGTCTCGTGGAAGACCTGGACTACAAGGACGGCCACATGCCCAGTGGGGAAGTAGAGATGGCCATAGCAATGAAGAAGTGAGCTCAAGCACTGGAAAGAGCAGGACGAGTTGAAGAGGTTCGTGCGCTTCTGGTCCTCCAAGAGCGGCGACAACCAGACAAGCCTCGATGAATACATCTCCCGAATGAAGGACAGTCACTCCGGCTTGGGGCATTGATGTTTTGAGCCCCAAAGTTGTGGATCGGGTGCATTCCGCATTTCGGCAGTTCTTGAGCTTCAGAACATCTTCACAAACTACCCAACGCATGCTTGATTGCACCATGCGCTTTCGGCATACTGATTTCGATCCGGGTTGAAGGGCATTCGCATGGTTTCTGGGGCCCGGAAACCAGTGGCGGTTTTCTGGAATCTGATGCAAGCCTGACTTTGCTACCGTGACACCGACATTGCTGATGTGCATAAGGCAACATGTGCAAACCACTGTAAGCTTTCAATTCGGACACAGCAGTGAAGGTTTTAAGGATGTTTGCTTACCATCAGACACACGAAACTTCAGATGCGCATGTCCAAGTGTCAAGGGCTCTGCTGCTCGCATGGCTCTTGAACGTTTGCAACGCTATGCCACGACATCAAAGCGCCATTGTGTCCTCCGGCCCATACAGTAAAGAGCCACAGGAAGGCCAGGACAAGATCTACTTCGTCACTGGTGAAGGCAGGCGAGCTGCAGAGATAGCTCCCGCCATGGAGAAGATGAGATTGAAGGAGCAGCGTGTAATGGAACACACCATGTCACGTTCGCTTGACTACTCCTCCAAGTGCCAAGCGGAGGATTACGAAGTGCTCTACATGGTTGACCCTTTGGATGAAATTTGCAGCCAATCCATCGTGGACTATGATGCGAGGGCCACAGAAGAAAGCGCACTCAAATTTCAGCGTACTGTATGCTGGCCTGCAACATGTAGCCAATGAGAACACCGAAAGCGAAAGAAGATGACTCTTCTGGGACTCAGGGAAAGAAGCTCGTGGACATCAACAAGGCCGGCCTCGACTTGGAGAAGAGCCGCTTGGCGCAATCAGCACCGTCAAGGATTGCAGGCATTTCGTGCAAGTCGTTGGTGGATAAATTAAGTGGAAGCAAAACAGTGCAAGACCTTCTTGAAACAACATGTCGCTCCACTTCGGCAATGGTGTTTGAGCTTGCCCCTACTGTAGCATGCAAAACATGTGTCTCAATTCAACATGCCGGCCACACCCTGAAGGCGAAGACGAGAAGAAGGCAGATCATTCCGCATGTGTGTGTGTGTGTGTGTTCGTGGGTGCAGTTGTTCTGCCGGCTCTTTTTCCCGGAGAAAATAGAACAGCTTTACCGACCTGCCCCGTGATGGCAGCTATGCTAATTATTCAGGCGCCGTCCGGGCACATGCTAGCTAGAGGTTCACTTCAAGGTTGCAATGCCTCGATGGAGCTGTGCGTATTGCTTGGTGTCCTGAGTCCGTTGCAATCGACTCGTTGCAGCAACCCGAAGGAAAGAAACAGACGGGCAAACAAGAAACGAGAGAGCCTGTGCCACAAGAACTCTGAGAGAGCGAGACAGAGAGAGAGGTAGGTAACCATTTTGGCTCAAGTGCTGCACCTTTGTGGGGGGGCCTGTTCCGCCTCTCCGCATCGGGGGGGAGGCGCAGGGTTACCTCAGGGCCTCAGGGCTGTGCCCCTGGAGGAGCTTCCGTCGCCTTTCCCAGCGGTGCTTGAGCTAACATATCCACTGCCGCTTTGCTCTAGGGGGAGCTTCCAGAAACGCCCGCAATAATCGAGAAGGGCACGATCGCGGAACTTTGACCTTGAGGGTGACCTGGTGCCTGCAAGACCTCCACCATCGACCTTGAAGTCCGGAAAAAGCCAGACCTCTTCCTCAACAGCCTCGACCGGAACGAGGGAAAGCTTCGCGAGATTTACAACACTGCGTGGGTGGGGGAGTATAATGCCTCAGAGATCGTGATAGTGGCAAGCAGGGGGAGATCGCAATCTACCATTGGAACTTGTAAGATATGCCAAAAAGTCGCTCTGGTGCCAAGCCCACAGTGGCAAGCAAGTCCGGCAAGTACAAAAAATATGGCACGACAGAGAGTGGAAGCCCGAAGATGGGGAGCCGAGACGGAGTGAGCGCAGCAAACAGTTTTCCAAGTCCGAGTGTGCATGGGGGGGAAGCATGTTTTGTTCTACTTAGCGGGTGTTGCTCAACTTCTGCTTCGCTTTCGCTTTTACTTCTCCTCCTTTTGCCACCACTGCTTGCGAAGCCAAACCCCCTTCCCATCAGAAGGGGAGATTTCTTCAGCCGTAGGTCCTCATGCCGGGGGATTGCATGTTTCGTTGTCACATATCACGTCTTTCGGAGCCTCTCTGCGCGCTGTGCTGTCGCAATTCGACGGCATCTATTCCAACCGCTTGAATTCGCTGCAAACCGTCGCATGGCGACGAAGTTCGATCCGCCCCTTTACCGCTAATTAGATGCTCTTCCTTACTGCGAGCCCGTGTGAAAAGTGACAATTAAACCGGCATCCTTTTTCGAGAACCTCTGGACAGTGAAGCAGCAGGCAGAAAGCGGGGGAACGTTTTGCTAGGTTGTCCTGGTCGTACTGGTGTCTGTTGTGCCCTAGTCCTTGTCGTTTTGATACTCTCCAAGAGCAGCTGCATGGGGGAATTGCCCAACTTTTTCGAGCAGCCAGCCCCGAGTGGTTGGTAGCCACAAGGGCGCGGTGATGAGGCCGGTTGGGGGTTGCTTAGTGTACGGCTTCGGGGGCTTGCTGCTCAGAAACTCAGGGCATATTTGGTAGTTCAGTGCCGCGGTCAGTGGGACCCAATGCCGTCCACTCAGTAACACAATGGGTGGTCGGGCGGGCCAAGTGCCTGAGGGTCACGACGTGACCCCTACGCCCGGCAGAAAGAAAAAGGTAGGTATGTACTTGTAGCCATTTTCGCTCAACCCCTGAGCGGTTCGAGGCCTGAAAGCAGAGAGGGGAGCCGGCTTGTGAAGGAAGCCGTCTGTGAGGGGTTCCTGTGCCATAATCGTGAAGGTGCGCTGTGCAGAACTGGACCTCGCAAACAAGGTTGTCATCCGCGAGTGAGGGGGCCTTGTTCCAGTTCGGTCCTCGCA